CACACACACGCACACACACGCACGCGCACATGCACACAAGCACACAGACGCACGCACGCACACACACAAAGGAAGTTCAGACAAACACAAGCTGCATCATCAGACGTATGACTCAGCTGGGGCAGAGGCTGCTCATGTGCTAAATGGGCTTGGAGCAGGTATGGTTCAGACACAACAGAACAGAAGACAAGGACAGGTCAAGAATTTTACAGAAAAGAAAATTCAAACCCAAATCCTATTTAGTGCTCCGTTTCTTTATTTTAAACTAACTGACAAATAAATAATAAACATAGAGAAGCCAAAATGTGCCCGATTTATAGCTCACTCCATGTAGTATTAAAATACAAGCAATTTTTTGGGAAAATGAGAAATCAAAATGGGAAATTTTAAAACGATATGGAAAGTACAATTTTTCTGCAGGGTCATATTTATTTCATTTACATTAGTTTCTACAGAATAAACAGAATGCTAACCTTTACTTTGCTCTTGCTGTATTTCTTCCCGAGCCTTCAGCCTCTGCTGCGCTTCTGCCAAACCACAGCTGTTGAATCCATATCTGGACACATACAAAGTACAACTTGTTAGAATGACAGCTTATTAGTAAAATTACTCATACTCATAGATAGACAGATTACCTTCATTTATTAATCCCTCATTTACATATGTAAAACAAAAGAAAATGACATAAGCCTGTGAACTCTTATTTTCAGTTGTGGGTATGTGTTCTCTGCAAACATGCAGGAGGCCTAATCTCTATAAACAGACTGAACTCTGTGAAAAAGACAATTATTTTAAAATGAAAATAATATCACTAATGTGAACTGAAACTAATGCGACTCATTTCCCGATAAACCCCAATTAAATCAGAATTTAAAAAACATCTTTATTGAAAAACAATAATAGAACACAGCCATAATCTACAAACCATAGAATTTGTAATTTTATCAATATATACATTTTATTTGGGGCAAATAGCTAAAACTAATACAGTCAGAACAGTCAGCTGGAGTAAAGGGCAGCTTCTTTTAAAACATACCTGTTAATAACGGCACGATCTGCGCTGAGTCGAAACACACGCGGTTTGGGGTTCCCCTCCTGAGGTTTGGGCGTGATCGTCCCCACTTCGACAAAACCAAAACCCATTTTCTGCAAACCGTCCACAGCCTCCCCGTGCTTGTCGAAGCCCGCCGCAATGCCAATAGGATTTTTGAATTTTAATCCCAAGACGTTCATTTCCTGTGGAGACAAGACGACAAACACAACAAAGTCTTGGGATAATTCTGATACAAAACTGTCTGAGTGTAGCAGTGAGGGGACATGATTTACCAATGACGCAGGGTCCTGGTATCTATTCAGAGGAACCAGACCCAGACTGATCATCTTCACTGCCAACACATGTGCCGTCTCTGCCCCCACAATCCTCTGCAGCAGGGGCATCAGTTGGTTGGCATAGAAACGCTCATCTCCGACCACGGTCAGGTAGGAGGCAAACAGAAGGCTCCCTGAGCTGATGATCTTGACCGCCTCTTTTAACTGCTTCTGTTGACAAGATCGGGAGAAATGAACACATAATACCACATCGTAGAGGAACTCACTGTGAACAGACATAATAAAGCTTAACAAACACATTCATAATGTTAGCAAGGTCCCAATTTCCACAATAATGATAAGTTTGCATCCGGTGTTTGGTTTAATAATCGAGTTAACATCCAGAGAGGATGTGTGGTCGTGTGCACTATTCATGTGTGAGCACAGCAAAGGCTGATGGGACATCAATGCAACTGAGACATAATACATAATGAATAAATTACACTTGTGCTTTTCCTGCTATGACATCCCAAAGTGTCTGCTACAGGCCAATCAAAGACACGAGATACAAAACAAGCAGAGAGAAGAGGCGACAAACTACAGACTGAATATTACAGGAAGAGAAAAATACACACACACACACACACATACACACACACACACACACACACACACACACACACACACATACATACATACATACATACATACATATATATATATATAAAACACCTCAGGGAGAATACTGGATATCATCCACCTGAACACACTGATGTACACATGTGTCTCTGTGGGGATTTTAACACATTTGCCGCTTGTTCGTCAAAGAGCAAACACACACCCCAGCTGTCTGGATGTGTGACTTACACGTGTGTGCTCCTGCAAACACACAACGAAGCTAAGTTTCACTGTCCCCTGGTTACACGTGAAGCTAAGCTAACACAACCGTCACATAAAGTCTCACGTGTTGTTTCACACCATCAAGAAGATAGTTCGAGTTTGACATTACCTTCAGATGTCCCGCCATGGACGCGATTCTGTCATTGCGTTGTAAGGACACAGGAGGAGTTTCCTAACATGTTACACAAACACACACGGGCTACACTTCCGCCTCATACTCTCGCGATGTTTCCATCCTGAGCGTGAGCGCGGTCTATGAGCGTCACTGGTGGAGGAGCAGCTGAGCCTTCTGTGGAAGCAACACATCACACAACACAACAGGAAATACATAACACAACAGGAAATACATAACACAACAGGAAATACATAACACAACAGCAGAGCACTAAATACTACAGCAAATAAAAGGAACACAACAGCAGATACAAAATCTCAACAGTGAATATAAAAAACACAACAGGTGGTCTCTTGTGTTTTCCCATGTGTTGTTCTTATTTTGTCGTTGTCATTGTGATTTTCAATTCAGGGCCACCACAGCTACCTCTGCACCCACAGTGTTTCTCAAAAGGTAAAGGAAAGAGGCAGTTCATATAAACAAGGATTTCATTTGAGAAAAATGTGTGTATTTCTTATGCATTGTCATTATCATACAAACACAATAGTATTATTCTGTATGTTTTTTCGTGTGATCAGCGAATGAAAAGGTGGAATCTGTCCTTGGTCAGTTGCAGAAGAAAAGGTTCATCTTGTGTGACCTTTGCCAAGTGACTCCTTCACTTTGCATCTTGTTTGAGTGTCTGCAGTGATTTTCCTAATCTATTGAGAACACATGCAGTGTTTTTCTGGAGAAAGTTCACTCATTTACATGTGACAGACGAACATGATGTTGCTCAGTTGCTGCTGCAGCCTCAGTTCCCTCAGCACTATGTCCTTTAGTTCAGTACATCACAATAACCATGTTGCTGCGAACCTCTGTCTTTTTGTGGATTTCAGCTGGATTTCTACTTTCACCTATGGAGTCTGAGACCTGTAGCGGCGATGCTTTCCCTGCCCGGTGTGATCTCGTTTTCAGAAGAGTCTGCTTTGAGTTTGTGGAGGAGTTGAAAACCTGGTCCCAGGCCAGGAGCAGCTGTGAAAAGAGAGAAGGGGAGCTCCTGAAGGAGGTGAACAGCCCGATCAAAGTTCTCCTGAAGAACATCACCAGACGGAGAAACACCAGCAACTTCACATGGTGGCTGGGGGAGGGGGTCCAAGGGGAACCAAGGGGAGGTCAGTAAAATACACACACACACAAGCTTTTTTTTATATTTAGTTTATCATGTCTTGGATTCTGATCCTTTAAATCGAATAAGTGTCTCTTTGGGACTGCCAAACCAAATAGCTCTAGGAAATAAACAACTTTTTGTTTTCAAGTTGTTTGAATACATTTATCATCCGATGCCATGTAGATAATAAATTTTAATTAAAAATCCAGATCTGGATTTTTTTACCTAACAAAATAAGACAAACTTCTCAAACACATTAACATTATTGTCTCAGATTTAGAAATAAAAAAGTTAATTGTAAATGTCTTATTAAATAATTTTATGACACAAGACTATGGTAACTCTGAGTGAATATTTTCAGAATAAGGTTGGTGACATAAATGGTTTAGAAAGAGATTTAGACACGTTCAGATTACATCACATTAGTGATACTATATATGTAGATATCAACAGAAAACTTTGAATATGAGCGGGTAGAACTCAGTGTAAAAAAACACAGAATTGACACCATAGTCAGTTTAACACTAGGAGGGTTTAAGAAATAACCAAAATCCACCCAACACTTTCAGAAACGTATTCAAAGGATTAAGTTATGTTTTGATTGACGATGTGTTAAAGGTTCAGTGTGCAAGATTTAGGTGAAAAGGATCTATTGGCAGATATTGACTATCAAATAAAATCCCAGTGATGTTTTCACTAGTGTTTCATCGAAATTGCACAAATTGTTTTCTTCACCATAGAATTGGTCCTTTATATTTAAATACTTTACATTTACATCTAGAGCAGGTCCGCGATATGGAGGCTGCCATGTTTTTTACAGTAGCCCAGACTGGACAAAATAAATCTTTTTGGACTGAAGGCTGCCACAGATTCTCTGTCATGTTTGGAAGGGGAGGGTGAGGTGAGGGGTATTCAGCTGCAACATTCAACTTCACCACTAGATGCCGCTACACTCTACACACACTTTTTAAATAGCTCAATAAACAACTAAAAATGAACACTGACTGATTTGCGTACAACATGTATATTACGTGCAAATTGAATTGACATTTTCCTGTTCCAAAAGTCCATCAACAGAAAATGAATGGCAGTATTGTAGTATATACGTGTGTGTGTGTGTGTACAACAGAAAATGGTGACACCTCAGAGTACAGCTGCACATACATGAGGCTGAATCCTCTCCAGCTCTCTACATCAGACTGCAGCCAGAGACGCAGCTTCCTCTGCAGCCGCAGTATGTGAACACCTGCTTCCTAATAATTGCTTTAGCTCCATCCTTCCTCCCTTTTCCTTTTTTTATCTTTCATGTCTGTCATTCCTTTGTATTCAACATGCAGTTTGATGAATGTGTCACTCTTGTTTTAAAGGGTTGTGGTCTTCATCAAACACAGCGGTAAGAGATCGCACACTAACAGAATGAAACCATGCAAACATACAAACGGAATTTTCATGTTTTGTTCATGTTGTCTTTGCAGAATAAATTTGTGTCCAGTCATGTGAGCAGACCTCGTAAGTAAGATTGAAAAAAACAGCAGTTTTCAGACATGAACTCCGTAAATGGCGAATGGTGAAGTTGGGTCTGGACATTTTCTAGAGTTTGCCTTTCACATATGAAGAACACAGCAGGAGATTGTTCGAGTTAGAAGCATTCACAACAGCAGGAAAATGTCCCGAACATTTATACAAGTGGTGGCGCCTGTGTAGACCAGGACATGAGGTATAAATCTCGCTGTGATTTCACATGTTTATTTACAGCCCCGGCGTCGGCCCTTATCGCCAAAAAGTCTCAGATCTCATTGTCTTTCCAAGTTGGCATCTTCCTCAGTGTCCTCTACATATTTGGCATTTCTTTTTCATCCTGAGATATGTGTTTTAGAAACATCCTTAACGTACCAGGCCCGACATTTTCCTACTGAATTCTGGCGCTGGCTCTCTCTGACATTTTCCAGACATTTTACTAGGGGGCTGGCAGGAAAAGTTCAGGAAAATGTGTTGAGCAATCGACTCGGACATTTGCGTTCTCTGTGCATGTCTGAAAGCATCTTCTGTGTTTTCACTGAAAGTAAAAAGTCAGAGTATGTGCTTGTCTTTCTCTGCCTCTCTAACACACACTTTAATTTCAGGACCCAAACGTGCCGCAACTCTGTCAGAAATCACGAGTCTTCTCCTGGTGAGGGATGCCTTGCTCATTTTAAACAAAGACAATGAATACAATATGCTTATGTAATATTATACTCTTTTATTTCTTAAGTTTAAAAAAGGGCTGTTTTTCTGAAACAGGCAGCAGACAAAGAACTACAGCGAATGGAAACAACAGTAGGGGAACCGACAAATGACAGCAGGGTGGGTACCTTCGCTTTGGAAAATATATATTCTTCATTATCATCATGATATTGTTTTTATACTGAGAGTCTGTCATGGTGCGTTACAAGTTCTCTGTTTCTTACCTTCGCAGGACAACTTCATTAAGTATTTGTATGAAGTCACCAAAAAACTGACTCCAACATTTGCTTTGCAAAACAATGAGACCATCAGTCACATCATCAACTGCAGCACTGGCATCATCCTCCTCTCAATAAAAAGATGCGACATCCAGGCAAACCCAAGCCCCACAGTACGTTCACTAGATCGTGTGACTGGTACACACAAGCAATAACACACACTGTTGTCGTTGTTGGTCTTATAGTCAGGTGATGTTGAACTTTTCCCCCTTCCAGGCTTTGTTTGAGCAGGTTTTTGAGATCTATCGTACAATCGCTAGTCTGATTGGTTCAGTGATCACAGGCCAATATATCATCAGGCACCAGACAGGCACCATCTATCAGAACAGGTTGGTATTTTCTTTCAGAATATCCCTGACCTTGTATACATCCCATGATTTTTGTGTGTATTTAGGTTTTCTTATATTTTTATTCACCTTTTATTTCCCTCTCGTCAGTTACAAACCTGCGGACCTCAGTGGTGCAGTCCTGGGTTCAGTGAAAGATGGTGAGTTCGTCAAACTCCCCTCGTATTCAGCACTTCGGACTCAGCTGAAAGGGCAGAGCAAGGTCTTCACTCAGGTCTGTGTGTGTTATCATCACGAGTATGCGTGTGTTCGTAATGGTTGTCATCTACAGCCTCTTAAACAGAGCTGTTCTCTTTCTCAGTTTGCCACGTTCTCACACAATCCTCATCCTTCTGACGACAACATCTCAGGAACTGTTTGCAGCATCTTACTCAGCAATGGGGTCTCTGACATTAGGCTGGAAAACCTGACAGAGATGATAGAGGTACAGGAGAATTGAATATTGTGTCATTTGAACTATGGTGTTCATATTTTTTAAGGTAGGTTGTAAGCAAATGAAAAGAAAAGGTGAGGATTGTCAGGGACCAGAACAGATTGGAGACAGATTGAAAATGAAAAAGGTGAAACTGACATATTACCAATGTCTGTGTTATTAGAAGGGTTGTTCAGAGTGTCTAGAGTGAGACTCCTCACTGCTGGGCGACAGAAAGCAGCTTGTGACATTATCAGCAGGTGATTAAACCAAAATGACAAAAAACTCTCCCTTACAACCTTCAATTCATCCATCCCCTCTCAGCCATCCCCTCTTCCCCTGTGAGAGAGGGGCTGCATTTGCTCAGAGAGAATTTGTGTGTGCAGGTGATCATCCTAGTAAGGGCTGCTAACGTAACCATGGGATCTGCAGTTTATTTTTAAAAGTTGAAACTGAATGACAGATTCTGACCATCGGGAGCACTGGGAGAAATCCTACCTGCGTCTGAGGCTGTTAAAACATCCATAAATGTTTACTTCCACTTCCATGAATATTGAGCTTCAAATTCTCATTTAAAACCTTTAGTTGAAGAAAAAAACAGTCTAATGCTCTGTCTTCATATTTTGATGCTATATTTCCTGGTTCCTCCAGATCTTTATGCCTCGTGCAGGTGCTTCAGTACTGACGAGCAACACTGTTATGTTGGAGAGAAACACAAAAGCGCTGACCACCATCAACGTCTCTGACCCGA